TGTTGGCGTGGAGGGCCGCGGTGGGCAGCTCGTGACACGGCTGCTCCGCTCATCGGAGCGCTGCCACAGGCTGGGCTCTCCCACATGGGTGACTGTGCCTGTGTCCAGCTAGGAGGATGCCCAGGAAGGTCGATAAGTCCCTCAGATAAAAACCACTAACTCACCGTAAAACAGTTTTATTTTTTACAGTTATTTGAAAAGATCCTGTTTCAGCAATGTTTTGACTCAACCTAGCTACCTTTGCCTTGTTTTAGAATGCTTTGGGGTCCTAAGAAGGGCAGTGAGGCTGCTGAAAGAGCACCAGCCCTCGGGGGGAGCGTCTGAGGGAGCTGTGGTGTTCAGCTTGGAGAAGAGGAGGCTTAGGGCAGAGTTTATCTCTTTTCTAAAGCCACCTGAAAGGAGGGTGTCGCCGGCTAGGAATTGCTTTCTTCTCCCAGGCAACCAGTGCCTGGATGAGAGTGCCTTAAATTGCACTAGAATAAGTTTAGATTGGGAATGAGGGAGAACTTTTTCACAGAAGGGATGGTTAAGCATTGAATGGTCTGCCCAGGGAGGTGTTTAAGGAAACCTCCGATGTGGCACTCAATGCTGTGCTCTAATTGACAAGGTGGTGTTTGGTTATAGGTTGGGTTCAGTGATCTCTGAGATCTTTTTCAACCCAGTTGTTTCTGTGATACTTGCATGTGGGTGTGCTTGTCATTATAAGTAGTTTTGCATGTGTAGGTATATATATCTATGCGCCTATATATATGTACCCATACATATATTTGAAATTTCTTCTCCTAGAAGCCACATCTGTTTTGGCATGAAATCTCCGGAAGAGATGCGTCAGCAAGCTCACATTCAAGTGGTCAGCAAGAATTTGTATAGTCAGGACAACCATCACTCTCCGCTGCAGTATGGAGTGCTGGACCATCGCATGGTGCGGACCTTTCTTTTGTTTTCCAGTTTCTTTCTGGGGAGTTGCTCAAGTGGTTAAAAAAATGTTGGGGTTACTGAAACATACTGTTTGTCCAAAGTAAATTCAAATGAGTCTTTACTTGAATTTCATAGACTATTAGTTGCAATGCCTGTTACTGTTTTTACAGTTTTGGTGGGCAGGAATGCATTCTCTTGAGGCAGGAAGTAAGTTACTTTTCTGCCAAACTGCTGGGATACACAGAGGCATGTGTCATCAAAATGCCACAGTGTAGATTTTAGTAATCTGTAAACAATTTGTAAGTAACAGTCTGTGAATAACTTGTAACAGCTGCCTGAGTCCAGGTCATTGTTGTCAGCAGGGGCTGTGTGTAAAAGCCATTTTTCTTAAGGGTCGGAGTGGCTTTAATGCTATTGATGTGCTTCTGATGCTGGGGAAAAGGAGTGGTTTTGCTACTAGGATTCCTGACTAGTTTTTTAACTGCTGTATTTTGTATTTGTCCTATCAGTTACAGCTAACTTTTTTCTGTGCATGTGTGTTGTCTTTCTCCCAAAGGGAACCAGTGAAAAAGACCGGCCCTGTGAAACCTGTGGGAAAAGTCTGGCTGACTGTTTAGGGCATTATGGGTACATTGACTTAGAACTACCATGCTTTCACGTTGGGTACTTCAAAGCTGTGATAGGCATCTTACAGGTAAACATGATCATGATTTCCTGTCAGTTTCTGGTCTAAAAAAGGAAATTTTCAGTAAAGATGATGCTTGAAAGTAGTTGAGAAGGCCAAAATAAGGTTGCTTTAGGAACCTATGTTTGTGTACATTTTCTTTTGTAAAATACATGTATTTAAAGACCAGCCTTAGCGATGTTCTATGTAATCTCAGATTGAAAAATTCCGTTGTTTTTCTGCAGTTTGAATTAAATATATGCAGGATAATTTGGCTTTCAGAACATTCAAGTAAATCAAAGCTCTGTTTGCTTTATATGGATTTAATGCCCTGCTGAGCTTAGCTAATGATTTGCCTTATTGACTGTATTTTTCTCATGGGCTGATTAATGTATATTCCAATATGTGATTTGATTTTCTAATCAAGACGGTGGTATCTCATTCAAAGAAATGCACTGTGTTGAAGAAGTTAAGCTGTAGTTCAAGAGGTTACATCTCTGAATGTGTCTCTGAAACAACTGTGTTTATACATGCTTACATTTAAGATGATCTGCAAAACCTGTTGCCGCATCATGCTGTCAGTGGAAGAAAAAAAGCAGTTTTTAGATTACCTAAAACGACCTGGCCTTACATATCTTCAGAAGAGAGGGCTGAAAAAGAAAGTGTCTGAGAAGTGCCGAAAGAAAAACACTTGTCCTTACTGTGGGGCCTTTAATGGTGAGTATCAACATGAGCAGTTTGTGAAGTTATCTGCTCTGGTGGTTTTCACCTTGATGGGTGTGATAGGATCCAAATCTTGAATATGCTTATTCATTGCATAGCTAGTGGGTGTTCTCTCTGGCCTTCATTAAGAACCAGGTAATTGCATTTTTAGAGCCAGACACATCCTTGTTAACCTCATTTGTGTGGATACCGACATTTTCCTAGTTGCTTGTAGTATTTCATGTTTCATGTTGTAACCGATATTTGATACTTCAATCATGACAAAAACACCCCTTTTCATGTGTTTTTGAAAATATTGGGAGCTATTGGCAATGATGAATATCTTCACATAAAAGCATTGATAGCATTTGTAATTTTGAGTGAGCATTGTTTTTCATCACTGAATTAAATTATCTTAAGACTATTCTCTCTTCAGGGCAGAGTATTTTTGTATGAGTTTGTATGTGGTTTTCCAAATAGGTCTTGTTTTTTTTTTCATTTACACTGATCACATGCTACTGCTGTTTAAGGACTTGGTTTATTGCAGGTGTATAGTAGATGGTTAATCCATTACTT